AGGCAAATAAAATGCTAAACGAAATCCTTGAAGAAGATAAAAGAGAGAATTTAAATAGTGATAACAATGGTGGCAATGAAGATGATGGATCAGAGTGTACAGCTTGTGCAGAAGAAAATCCAGCTGCCAGAAAGGTCCAAGATGTACATATTATAAAGGGACATTAACAAAACAAATTACTTTTTTTTTTAAGTTCAAGAAAGTCCATCTTTGTCGATTCTCTAACTCAAGTCATTTTCATTTCATTCAAGCTTTGTCTGCTTCTTTCCAATTTCCAGATATTATAAAAATCTCTTGTCAGTCATACTTTCAGACAGCTTCTTCAGTCAAGCTTCTCATTCCTGACTTATTGTTAAAATTAACGACGACCATAATGCTAACTGTTTGGCTGCAGAGGATCTGTGAGTGCATGCATTTCGCAGAGAACTCTTCGAGGTTCTCCCTGCGCGTAATGGAGGCAATGAGGTTATTGCAGTTCAAAGAGGACCGATTGCTACCGACCTCCACAGTTCGGAATATCGTTGACTACATTCGAACTAATTATCACGACGACGGTGACCTTTACGCTCAGGTGCGAACCGCTCTGAAACAGGTCTGTTCGCAAGGGTTAGTTTTGCGTCAAGCAGAGCGAAACTGAGCCGGTGTAGGCGAAAATTGTGTCTCGCGTGAGACACGATCGCGTTTCAAGGCAACTGCAAAACCGTTTATCTCGCTCGTAGACTGTGCATCTATCGACCAGCTTCGTTTGCAGTACAGCTGTTAAACTGTAACGCTTCCATCGGCTCGTTTCACTCGATGAACCACCATCTTTTTATCTATAGATGAAGTTTAAAAGAAGGATTCTTTGGCCACTGAGATCTGTAAAGAAAGTTCAATTACATATGGTTTTCCTACATGAGACTACAAGCTACACTGAAATAGCTGTGATTATATCTTATATAAAATATTTTTTCATTTAAAAATACTTATCATTGAAATTATTATACGAAATATTTTGCTTTCCATTGTCTTTCATTTATTTTATTATACATCAGGAAAGTCTTAAAATTTTTCCAAGTAATTGACTATTACTCTCCTCTTCCATTCATTAGATCGAGATAATTTGTCGATAAAATTTCATCCCAGATTCGTCATGAAGCTGCTGGAAAATAGGTATCACTTGATCGGACCAAATGCGATCTCGATGAATCAGACCACCTGCGCGATTGGTGGAAGAGATTGCACGATGTCTTCACCAGTTAAAACACCGGTACGTCGCAGGAAACGCATCGACAATGGCAATGACTATTGCGAGTGTGAAACGACAACCGACGAAGAAGAACCAGAGCCTGCAGGTAAAAGTCGGAAAGTATCGACCAGTGAAACGAAAAGAGGCTCTCGAAGACGGAACGAAGAAATGCCGGGATGCTCTTGCAACGAACGCATAGACGAAGACGAATGCGTATGCAACGATGTGCAAGTGCAGAGAAGCATGAATGACGATTCAAGAATGCACGAGGAACGAGAGAATAATAACAAAAGAACAGATGAAGAAAAACAAAGAAGAATAACGCGCGATTCCTTGATCGAGTCTTCAAGAAGAGACGAGACTGACGAAAGAAGGAGAAGAACAGTGGATACTGACGATGGAGCAACGACGGAGAATGATAGATTAAACGTGGATGATATTTACGACGAATTGCGAGACAGAGTTTCGCCTTCAGAAATGAAAAAACGCGAGAAAGAGCTGAAAGCGTGGCTTAAACGTTGCCAGGAAGAGTGCAAGCGACAAGAGAAACGAAGAGCCAGAAATAATTAAGTAAATCCTCACTCTGGTAAACGTTGATCTAAATTAATAAATGACCTAAGCTAAAATATCTACTGATTAATTAAAAATCATTTTTAAATGAAATGTTTTCACATTTAATTTTTCTTGTACAACATATTGGTATACCAATTTTATCAGGCGTACAATAAACGAAGTGACCTTTTGTCATACCTTTGTTCAATCATTGTCTTGCCTGTTTTTTTTTTTTTTTTTTTTTTTTTTT